GCATGCCGGCTGGGGAATTCTGGGAGTTGAAGTCCACACCTCTTAAAGTTCCCAAGGTTAAGAAACACTAGTCGTTTTGGAATGTCTAATCTCCCAAGATTGTAAAAAAAATGTTTGGACATCCACCTCTTGGGGATGGTTAAACTGGTTTTCCTGAGTTGGAAGAGATGATCCTCGGAGCTGCCTTCAACCTCACCGCTCTGTGATTCTCCAGCCATTTTGTTCGCCTCCAGCCATTTTGTTTGTCCTTCCAGGCCCCGCAAGCTGACCCTGAAAGGTTATAAGCAGTACTGGGTGACTTTCAAAGAAACCACCATCTCGTACTTCAAGAGCCCAGAAGACGCGTTGGGAGAACCTGTCCAACAGCTCAACCTGAAAGGTGAGACGATCATCCTGCCAAGGAAAAGATGGCGCAGTCCAGTGGCTACTCCGTTCTCGATGGTCTTGGTTGCAACCGCTAGTTCTTTGGCTGAAAGCAGCGGCGGGATCCTAGCTTAGTCGCTGCCGCCCCTAACGCGCACGCACCTAACAGGCCAATCAGCTGAGAGGATGAAGAAATGAAAAGTTAGGTGTGACTCCCCCGCCCAACACCCTCCCATGTATTTTTTGGTCTTTTGTCCTCTCCGCTGATGAGCTTTTTTGCCTCCTCTCGGCTGATCGAGGGTGTTGTCATGACGAGGCAGTCGAGTTGCTTGATCATGATCAACTGAATCATGATTAACTTTATTGGAGTCTAGTCTTGCATTTATACACATTTTTAGTTATCCTCCAACATTGGTTAACTTTGGTTAACTTTCATTACTGTTTAGCATAATAGTAATTAACACAATTAACTATCTCTAGTTCAAGTCTAACATGTTTACTTCCTCTCTCTAATCCTCCTTTAGATTAGTGACTTTGTTTGCCTGAGTTGTATTTGCTTGGAAACATTCTTTATCTGAGGTTTGCCATCCGAGATTAGAACATTCCTGCAATTACAACTCTACACGGGGGTTCGGAGGAACTGGTAGTGATTTTTACTACCGGTTTGCGTGAACCAGCCCGAATCAGTAGCATACCACCACTGGCTGAAACGATCTGGTAAAGAACCTGCTGGTCCTCAGCCAGAGTAGACCCATGTTGACAAAGTGACCTTTTCTAAACGAAAGTGCTTCTCGCTTCCAGCCAGGACGCCAAAGGTTGACAACTCTGGAAGATGAGAGACCCAAGATCACTTGAAACTGTGGGTCCGGTGGAACCACAGGCCACGTTGTGTTCAAGACAGTTTTATTGGGGCCTGAAGCGTTCTACCCTTTCTCTCTCTCTCTCTTTCCCTCAGGCTGCGAAGTGGTGCCAGATGTCAACATCTCTGGCCAGAAATTCTGCATCAAGTTGCTGGTCCCTTCTCCTGATGGAATGAGCGAAATACACCTGAGATGTGTGGATGTGAGTTGAGACGAAGACGGGAGGAAAGGAAGGAACCCGACTCTGGGATGAGAGTTGGGCAGAACTTTAGATGCTAGGCCCAACCAGGATTCCATGTTGGACCTAAAAACATAAGATATCACTATAAAGGATGTCACACTCTGGAGCTTCGGGACTTCAAATATAGAAGAACCGCCCCGGTGTGGAAACCACCCAGCTGGAGGGCTTGTATTATAAAGCCGTAGGAATGGTTGTAGCCTCTTTCTCTCTCTTGTCCTTAACCAGGAGCAGCAATACGCCAGTTGGATGGCCGGCTGCCGTTTGGCAGCGAAGGGGAAGACCATGGCGGACGCGTCCTACCAAGCCGAAAAGGAGAACATTCTCTCCTTCCTGAAGCTGCAAAAGACCAACCCAGAAATGTCCCTCACCGCAGAGACGGAGGGGACCCAATGGCTGGTGTCTCCTCGCTACCAGAAGAAATTCAAACCTAAGCAGGTATTGTCCTTCCTCCTGGCAGCCGTTGTAATTTCCCACAATGCCCGAGAAGGAGACGGCCTTAGGATCATGGGAAATGAACAGGGTTGTTGGATCCAACTGGATCTAGTTGCTCGGAGTGGTAAATAGAATTTAAGAGAAATCTGGGGGGGAAAGTCGAAGTCATCCTTATAGTGACCATTGCCACTTCTTCCTCTTCCGTCTCACTTTATATCCCACTAGCTCGATACCCGTGTGCTTCACTATGAAACTATGTGGTCGGGCTTAGTTTTGGGGGAGGAAAATAAGGGGTGGGGCGGAATTGTGCCTCTGCCTACCAGCATCCATCAGTATTCGCCTGGCTAGTGTCCTGTCAGTGTGTGAGAGAGTTAAGGGCTGTTTGGAAACTGAAACAATATTTGCTGTGTGAGCAAGGAGGAGGCAGCAAGGAGCCTGGGCGTGGCTTAGCTCAACTGTTCTGTACTAAAGCTGCTTGGTGCTCTGAAACCAAAACCGAAACTCCTCTGCTTGTGTTTTGCATTTGGAAGAGATTTCTTTCCAAGTGGGGAGGGGGAGTAGAACTCCTTAGCATCAGAGCGTGTTAATAGTAATAATATAGGAAATACTCTAAATGCTCTGATGGTCATTTAGAAAAATCCTTTCTTAGTGAGCACCTAGAATCCAAGAGGAACTTATGTGCCAAATTTCAAGTTTGTAGGCTTTACGGTTCAGGAGATTTTTGTGATGATGCCTGAGTGGCATTTCGCTTTTATATATATATATAAATTAATCAATGACATCAGATAAGTCAGAATGTGGCCAACTGTCCATTGGAGGCTTGCAATAGCAATGGAAATTCTGGCCATAAGTTGAGGGCTGCCAGCAGAGTAATAGAGACCCCACAATACATTTCCATATAAGTGTATATTTTTTTCCTCTTCTTTGTTCCAGTGCATTTTTTTTTTTTCTGTTGTTCTGGAAGATTCCCTGTCGTGCAGGTAGAAAGAAGGACTTCACGCCCTCCACGGGCTTCCCTCTGATCGTTCTTTGTTTGCAAATCTTTGCAGTTAACCCCCCGCATCCTTGAGGCCTATCAGAACGTCTCTCAGCACTCCCTGGCTGAGGCCAAGATGAAATTTATCCAGGCCTGGCAGTCCCTCCCCGATTTCGGCATCTCCTACTTCGTGGTCAGGTAAGGAAAGCCCCCCCCCC